GTACTAATGCAGGTATTCCTCAGGGCTCTATCCTTGGACCTACTTTGTTTTTAATTTTCATTAACGACCTTCACAATGCCTTCAGCTCTGAACTTTCTACCTATGCTGAGGACGCAACCATTTACTCCTCTTGCGATAGTAAGTCGGACCAGTCCGCTAAGGTCAAATTGGCGGCTGATGTCAAAAAACGAGCTTCAGTCTGTTGTTAACTGCGGCAAAGGATGGTTTCTTAATTTTAACGCCTCAAAAACTAAACTAACCTCTTTCAATCATCTAAGAGAGCTCTTTCTGTTTGACATCAACCGTGAGTTCTATGCGAACAGTTTATTTTCTCGCACTTCTCGCTTGTAGAACTCTCTTCTGGCCCCATACTTTCCAGTTAAGATAATCTTCAAAACTTTAAATGTAATGTCCGTGTGTGTTTGTGTGTGTGTGAGAGAGAGAGAGTGTAGCGTAGTGGTTATCGCTACGGGGAGTGGAATTAACCAGTTGAGTTCAAATTGAGGTCGAGGCCTTAACGTTAAGGCCCGCCCAAATATCCATGGAAAGGTAGGAGACTATCTCTTGTCTTCCAGCTCCAGGTGAGCAGCAGGCAGATTCGGATCTCTATCTGAGGTTTGCAATCAGATTAGCTGAGTGAGAACTCTAAATTCAAAACCGCTTGGGCATCACCCTCGTTTTTACGTGTTTTTCCTACGGAAAAAAACACAGCAAGAGGACCTAGTATGATTAAATGCAAGACAGACAGGCTAAAGTGAAGGGGATCTAACAAAATTGGTCATTTGATTTCCTTTTCTTTTTTGTTCGGTTTTAGTTTTCTTCTTTTTTTTATTCATCCACGATTCTGTCTTTTTTTTACATTAATCTTTCTTTCTTTCTTTCCTTCTTTCTTTCTTATATTTATCTTTCTTTCTTTCCTTCCTATTTCAATCTTTTTTCTTTCATTACTTCTTTTTTATATTAATCTTTCTTTCTTTCTTTCTTTCTTTCTTTCTTTCCTTCCTATGTTAATCATTTTTCTTTCATTCCTTCTTTCTTATATTAATCTCTCTTTGCTTTTCTTTCTTTCTTTCTTTCTTTCTTTCTTTCTTTCCTTCCTTCCTATGTTAATCCTTTTTCTTTCTTTCCTTCTTTCTTAGATTAATCTTTCTTTCTTTCCTTCCTATTTCAAACTCTTTTCTTTCATTCCTTCTTTCTTATATTGATCTTTCTTTCTTTCTTTCTTTCTTTCTTTCTATGTTAATCATTTTCATTTCATTCCCTCTTTCTTATATTTATATTTCTTTCTTTCTTTCTTTCTTTCTTTCTTTGTTTGTTTGTTTGTTTGTTTGTTTGTTTGTTTCTTTCTTTCTTTCTTTCCTTCCTATGTTAATCATTTTTCTTTCGTTCCTTCTTTCTTAAATTTATCTTTCTTTCTTGCTTTCTTTCTTTCTTTCTTTCTTTCTTTCTTTCCTTCCTTCCTTCCTATGTTAATCATTTTTCTTTCATTCTTTCTTTCTTATATTTATCTTTCTTTCTTGCTTTCTTTCTTTCTTTCTTTCTTTCTTTCTTTCTTTCTTACGTTAATCATTTTTCTTTCATTCCTTCTTTTTTATATTTATCTTTCTTTCTTGCTTTCTTTCTTTCTTTCTTATATTAATATTTTTCTCGTTTTAGTTATTCACCTTCTTGTTTCCTATATTCATTTGCCTTTCTTTCTTTATACCTCCCAACCTACCTCCCTACCTACCTACCCTGTTGATAACCTCTTGACTGAGCTCAGGACATCTTTGCTCTCTTTATCTCTCAAATGCTCGGAATCTACCCCTCAAACCAATGACATAACTCCCACCCCACTAAATGGACCCACCCAATTTCCATACTCTATGACTGTTCGAGTACACTTGTCAAATTGATGTAGAATCTGCTTAACCGTTTCTTTTCTCTGACGACCTGTCTGTCAATCAAGCACCTTACGCCAACTCTCTCCTGTTAACCATTTGGGTCACTTACACTTATTGAACATCATATACATCTTTGTTTTATATTTGGTGGGGTGGAGGTCATTCAACATCATAAAATGTGGTTTTCGCCCACTATTTTCTCGATTATTTCGATCTAAAAGATCGAAAACTTTATCCTTATATTCTCAGAACCCCAATAATATGTAAATTTCCCCAAAGCGGATATTAAAACATCCTGAAGTATTTGTCTTTAAAAAACATTATTATATGTTTTGTGGCACTAAATATATATGGGCGGCCTCAATAGTAACTGAAACATGTACAGCTATAAACCCAACAATTAAAACCGTCCTGGGTGTGACGATAAACTACATCCGCGACCTGGGTAAGGCGATAAACTACGTCCAACAGCAAGGCCTCTAATTGCTGGCGTTCCCAGGTCCACCCTGACCCTGGATGTAAGTACCTGTTAGGGTCCCAGCTATGGGCAAATAGTTGACACGCAAACTTGTGTAAAAATAGGTTTTAATACCAGAAATATTTTGTAATAAAAAATATTACCAGCAATAATTTTAGAAAGTGTTGTGGAGTATTTTCACAGTGGATGCTTGTATTTCTAATAAGTCGTCCTGAATTAGGTCCGACGTACAAAACGTTGAACTTGGAAAATAAGAGTCAATGGCGCAGCAATCTAGTTGTGATGGTTTTTCAAATGTGGACTGACGCGCTCAACACCGTTCGGTATTTATCTTTTCACCCACGGAAAAGAATATGGCACAAGGCCGGTTTTTTATAGCCCGTAGGCTCGGCCGCCTTTGAAGCCGATTAAAATACCTCCCGGACGGTCCGACGCTAACGCAAGTTCGACAGGAGGCGTGCGCAGTCAGAGACCGCTCAACACCGTTCGGTATTTATCTTTTCACCCACGGAAAGAATATGGCACAAGGCCGGTTTTTTTTGGGTTTCCCCGAGCCCGTAGGCTCGGCCAAAAAATAGCCTTTGAAGCCGATTAAACGGGTTTCAGGCCTGTCTACCTCCCCCGGACGAAACCTTGCCCTTCGGCAAAGCCTCGTCGGGTTCCTCTTCTAATGCAGAGAGTTCGAAGGGAGGCGTCCGCAGTCAGAGACCGCGAGGCACCGTTCGGTATTTATCTTTTCACCCACGGAAAAGAATATGGCACAAGGCCGGTTTTTATGTGGGTTTCCAGCCCGTAGGCTCGGCCTAAGTTGAAGCCGATTAAACGGGTTCAGGGCCTACCTCCCCGGACGAAACCTTGCCCTTCGGCAAAGCCTCGTCCGGGTTCCTCTCTGCTAATGCAGAGAGTTCGAAATCCGCAGTCAGAGACCGCGAGACGCCGTTCGGTATTTATCTTTTCTGGCACAAGGCCGGATGTGGGTTTCCCTGAATGTGGCTCGGCCAAAAATAGCCTTTTGAAGCAACAGGCCCGTTCGAGGTTTGCCCCAGACTTGAGTTCGACAAGGAGGCGTCCGCAGTCCTGCTACTCCCGCTACTTATTATCTATGGGAGAGTCCATTACAATAGAATAGGTAGTATAACAGAAAGAAAAATTATTATCAGTAACACTTTAAAAAAATACCAGCAATACTAACAGCTATACATTCTTTGAAAAATATTACCAGCTATAAGGTAAAATATTCCCAGAAATAGATTTTTGAAGAAAAACATTACCAGCAATAAAATTTTTGTCGGCATTAAATAACCCATTGAGGTTGATATACCGTAAAACAAACTAAACCAAACCAAACCAAACATTAAAAACAAGAATGAAAATGTCGCGGGAAATGCCAAAAGAACGATGGTGAAAGGTTTTGTAACATTTTCCGGGGTGTTTATTGCAACTAAAACGGCAACTTACACAGTATAAGGGTTTATTTTAAACAAGAACAATACAAGTAGATATTTACAAGTTCGCCTGAAGGTGGAAAGCAAGCCAGTATTTAGCCGACCTCCCCACGATGCAGGATGTTGCACAAGGCTGATTTTCATGTGGGGCGATCCGAACCCGTCTGCTTGCGCAAAATTTCCCCGTAGACTCTGCATACATACACGGGGTTGGGTTTGTCTACTTCCCCAGAAGCGACTTTGCCCATAGGCATAGGCTCATCTGGGTTCCTCTCCGACCGAAAGCAGAGAGTTTGACGTCTTGATGCTTGCTTAAACCTAAGCTGAAAAAGAAATCCGGTTTTTACCCGACATGCATCGAGACACCCACCCACCAGGCAGGATGTGGCAAAAGGCCGATTTCTATGTGGGGCGATCCGAGCACGTAGGCTCGGTCAAAATTTTACCCGAAGACACCTCAGACACGGGGTTGGGTTTGTCGACCCCCACAGACGCGACTTTACACTTTGACATAGCCTTGCCTGTGTTTCTCTCTTACCGAAGGCCGAGAATGCGATGTCTTGATGCTTACTGGAAAACAAGTTCCCTTGACACCAACACTATAAACGCTTATATTCCTACTGGGACAACCCACTTAATAGAGCTGTATCAGCTTTTGTATACTGAGAGGGTTATCAGTTCGTTCGCTACAATAAAAAGGTTTTATTTTATACCCCCCCAACACCCCCCAACACCCCCAACCCCCCCAAACATGTTAACAATATTTACAAATATGTTAGATGCATTCTTTCAGTCCATGAAAAAGCAAAACTAGAAAATATAAAAGTCTGTCATTACTCACTATTCCAGCACCTCATTTTGTAAAAGGTTATATTTCACCCACGTGACAGAAAAGTATTTATCCTTCTCGATTTTTACCTCAAATCTCCTTTCTGTACAGACTGTCGTGTCAGTCAGTGGCTTTTCCGGGTCACATGACCGACCTAGCGCGGCGCATGCTTATTAGGGAAGTGGATGGAAAGTTAACCTGACATGAAATGAACCATATATTTTTTACTTACTTTTTGAAGATTAAATGTTTAGAATATATCATCTCATAGTGATTAAAAATATTTTCCCATCATATAATAGGGTTGAAAAGCAAAAAATAAAATTAGAAATAATCCTCCTCATCGGATAAATTATCCAAAGCAGATTCAATCACTTAAGAAGCTTCTTAACGGTAAAAATAATGACAAGATCTAAATTGACAAAAGAATCTGGTCTAGTTATTGCGCAACGGAGATTCCATGAACTCTAAAACAGTAAGATATAGAGTCGTGACAGCCATTAGCGTCTCCTTAAAAACTATCAAATAAAACGACCTTGACCTTCGCAACCTTTTGACTCACAGAATTGAAATTAGCAGTAAGCGAATAACTAAACGACTAATCCAATATGTTTGAAGCCTAAACCATACCTTAAGAATATCAGATAAGGCAGTGTTGACCAAACATTGGAACAGCATCAGGAGTAATTTTATATTCACTCTTTTTTACTCCCATTATCCAGGGTGTATTTGAACAAACGAATTGGTATACTATTAGCCGCTTTTGGTGTAATGGTTAACAAGCTTGTCTCGCTAGATCAGTTATGACTGAAAAGTGAGTTCGATCCTCACTAGGTGTCCCATACTTTCGGCCTTGTGCCACATCTAAGCTACGCTTGGAAAACCACTAGGGCACCCCGAGGTGGTGTAATGGTTAGCAAGCTTGTCTTGCTAGAACAATTACGAATGAATAGTGAGTTCGATCCTCACCGGGTGCCCCAAACTTTCGGCCTTGTGCCGCATCTATGTTACGCTTGGAAAATCACTAGGGCACCCCGAGGCGGTGTAATGGTTAGCAAGCTTGTCTTGCTAGAACAATTACGAATGAGTAGTGAGTTCGATCCTCACTGGGTGCCCCAAACTTTCGGCCTTGTGCCACATCTAAGCTACGCTTGGAAAATCACTACTATTAACCGCTTTTTTTCCGACGAAAACCAAGCAGCTTTTCTGACCAAACAAAAACCTACCGACCATCCTACAAGACGACCATGTAATCAATGATCTATCTAAGTACCAAACCAGTCATCCCGGACCTGACATCAATCCAGACATTTCTCCTGATTGTAAATACTTTATATATAACGCACGCAGTTTTTGTAAAAATAAAAAAAAATAATAGACGTTTGGTTAAAATATAAACCTCCGTCTTTGTCTCTTCATTGTCTTTGCTGTTCACACCTTTTTTTGAAAACAAATAAGCTTGTGGGGACAACATTCTTATCGGGAACAGTGATATAGACTGTTG